TAAGATGCTGAACTTGTCGATTGAAAGGTCGGCAATTCAGCGGTTCGAATCCCTAGTGCCGCATAACAGGATGAGCTCCTGTTACTTGTCCCAGCTTCTGCCAACCTAGCAGTTCGAAAGCAGGTAAAAAATGCAAGTAGAAAAATAGGGACCACCTTTGGTGGGAAGCTCATAGCGTTCCACGCACCTTTGGCGTTGAGTCATGCCGGCCACATGACCACAGAGACGTCTCCGGACAGCGCTGGCTCTTCGCTTTTGAAACGGAGATGAGCACCGCCCCCTAGAGTCAGGAATGACAAGCACATATGTTACCTTTACCTTTATTTTTACAATCTACCAAGAACAACAGAAGCAACAAACGACACCTGAAAATTCTCCCCAAACAAATTTGGGGCGAAATTCATTGCATCCCCAGAAGCAGTTAAGTCTTTCCCCTCTTTGGCAAATTTCCATTCTGTCTCAAAACAAAAACATAGGGCTTGTGAATCTTCCAAGTAAGTAGAAGTCCCTCTTTCTCTCAAGGCCAAGGATCTCCAAACTTGGCCACCTTAAGATTTGTGGACTTCAACTTCCTTAATTCCATAATTTCTCAGCCAGCCATGGAATTATGGGGTGTTGAAGTCCACAAGTCTTAAAGTGGCCAAGTTTGGAGACCCCCCTTGCTCAAGGCAAAGCTTCCAAATTCCTGAAGTCAGTTAGGTACTTCTTGGTCTCTTAACTTAGAGGCCTCCAGCTCATGTTCTCTTCTTCCTTCTGAGATAATTCTCACTCCAATCACACAGTGCTTTGGCCCTCTCCCCACTTCTAGGTCCCATGGCTCCCTGATAGATGTCCATCCTTGCGATAAACTAATCAGGCAATTATTTAGGTCTGTCTCCATGTTGGAAGTGCCTCCATTCGTAAGAAATTTGAATTGTGGGGGACATATGTGTACAGTAATGGCCAAAATTGTGGAAACCTTTTGGGAAAAGTGTATTTTTGAGGTTTGATGACTAATAACATCCCTTTTTTGGGGAGTTTCAAGATAATCCTATTCCACTGCAATGAATGGTCTGGGAATAGCCCAGACCTTCACCCAATGGAAAATCTATGGAGACAACTAAAGAAACTGGTTAGTCAGAAGCGACCCAGCAATAAAACCCAGTTAATAGAAGCCATCCTTCCATCTTGGTTTCACATGATAACACCTGCAGAACTCAAAGACTTGGTTCCCTCCATGGAAAGACGTTGTAAGGCCGTCATTCATGCTAAAGGTTACCCAAATAAGTATTAACTGACATGGGGATCATTTTTGTATATCTCGTTTTTTCTACGTGTTTCACTTTTCTTCTTTATACTGCAACTGCTATTCTAATAGCAAATCCTTCCTAAAAGTTACTGCATTACATTCTTGATTAAATTATCTTTCCATTGATATATAATTTTATGGTACTACTCCAAAAAAAAAAAAAGTGATGTTATTAGCTAGTTTTAGAAAATACATTTTCCCCAAAAGGTTTCCACAATTTTGGCCACTACAGGTAGTCCTCAACTTATAATGGTTCATTTAGTGACCGTTCAAAGTTACAACAGCATTGAAAAAAGCGACTTATGACCGTTTCCCCCACTTACAACCATTGCAACATCTCCACAGTCACATGATCAGAAGCTGGACTCATATTTATGACAGTTGTGTCATGTGATCCCTTTTTGCAATCTTCTGAGAAGCCAACGGGAAAGCAAGTTTCACTTAACAACCGGGTTACTAATGGCAGCAATTCATTTAATAACTGTGGCAAGAAAGGGCATAAAACGGGGCAAAATTCAACTCAACCAATGTCTCGGCAACCAAAATGTCGGGTTGTCCATTGTGGCCGTAAATCGAGGACTACCTGTGTTACATTCTAGGCACTTCTGTCTGTGATGAACAGATCTGTTGCCTGCACCAGACACTTCCTAACATCTCTGGAACAGAACGCAAATTGGATTTATGGCCCTAATAAATGGGAGAACTCTTCTTGAGTTTCCAAGGCCTCCTTTGTAAAACTTCCATCCATCAGCTTCAACACTTCCATTGTGATTTAAAGGCAGAGCACGCCCAGAGGATAGTGGATTACATTTATTGATAAACACTGGATGCATCTGTCCAACAAATTATTTGAGTCATTCATTAATTGCGAGGAATAAAATGGCACATTTCTCGACCGCATTTACTCCTCAGAAGTCACTTCTCTTCCTTCTTCCAAAGATTTAATATGAACTCCCTGGGAATTGGCCTTGGATAGAAAAATTAGCTGTCTCTGGACCCAAAAGTGTTATACTCATCACTGGTGTATATCCTAATGTTCCAGATGACACTCTTATTAGACTAAAAGGGAATTGTCACAATCTCTGGTCACCACACTATAAAAAAGATGTTGAGACTCTAGAAAGAGTGCAGAGAAGAGCAAACAGGATGATGAGGGGACTGGAGGCTAAAACATTCGATGAATGGTTGTAGGAACCAGGCATGGCTAGTCTAGTGAAGAGAAGGACCTGGGGAGACATGAGAGCATCTTCCAATATTTGAGGGGCTGCCACAGAGAGGAGGGGTCAAGCTATTTTCCAGGTCAGACAAGGAACAATGGATGGAAACTGATCAAGGAGAGATTCAACCTAGAAATAAGGAGAAATTTTCTGACAGGGAGAGCCATCAACCCATGGAACAGAAGTTGCCTTCAGAAGTTGTGGGAGCTTCATCCCTGGAAGCTTTCAAGAAGAGACTGGGCTGCCATCTGTCAGAAATGGTGTAGGGTCTCCTGCTTGGGCGGGGGGTTGGACTAGATGACCTACAAGGTCCCTTCCAACTCTGTTATTCTGTAATCTTCCTTGTGCCAGCGTTAAGGAAGGTAGCCATAATGTCACCTCCTTTTCTGAGAAGGTGGAGAAAACTCAATATATGGACCACATTTACGCGTTCATGTGCTGTCTTTCTTGTTGGGTTATTTCTGTCAAGATTGGCTTTTCAGCCCCAACAATTATTTCATAAATGGATGATATAAGCCTTAGGCCTTCAATCTCTGTGATACAGTAATAGGTTTGTTCTGATACGAACTAATTTTTGAAGCACTGACTCCTCTCATTCAAGGTCACAGAAAATAGATCAGGTCATAGTTTAAACAGGAAGAATTTATTTCAAAAATTATGCACACTTTCAAATGGCGCAACCTGAAGCAAACGCTTTGGCCTTAACATCCCACACAGGATCTGTTCTTGATGCAAAGTTCAAACGGAGCTTTCTTTTTTTAAAAAAAGTCATTTAAATCTTAAAGGTCATATAGTACAATGATTACTATACTTAATCATAGTTACCACTGGGAAAGTGTGAGGATCCGGGACCAAGCTAAGTCCAAAAACGCTGGAGTATTCCTGAAAGCCCATCATACTGACAAATCGGCCATCAACAGGCACATAGAAATAAGCAACATCTACATGTCATTCAAAAGAATAGCAGAAGAGAATAACAAAATTGGAAGGGATCTTGGAAGTCTTTGAGTCCAACCAGTGGTGAAATCTGAACCGGTTTGCTACCGGTTCACTGGCTGCACATGCACGCTGCACGCCTAAAGGCAAACTGGTAGTAAAAAATGCTACTGGTTCAGTCAAACCGGTGTTTCTGACAATCAGCTGGGTGACGATCAGCTGTGATGCGCGATTTATATTAGCTAGAATCGTCGGATTTCCTGCTTTCTAGCTAATCTAAATCACGTGGCACAGCGGATTCCCCCTCCCCTCGCTGTTCTACTTACCTTTGCAGACTCGGGAGGCTTCAAAATGTTCCTTTTATAGTGCTGTGCGGGTGTGCCTCAGGCGCACATGCGCGCGCGCTCGGTAGCAGACTCACAGAACCGGTAGCAGACTTCAGAGGATTTCATCCCTGAGTGAAAGGCCACACCTTGGGGAAGGTATGGCATCCTTTTATACCTTCAGAGACATCAGCTTAGTACCTAATTCTGGCCCCCTGGTCCATGCCTTCCTTTGGCAGTGCAGCAAGGAATAGGGGGGCTGAGTGCTTAGCAACAGAGGGGCTGGGTGCTTAGCAACACAGGTATTTGCCCCATGGAACCCTGCCAAACCATGACATACCCCGCTTCTTGAGATTTCCATTTTCCATTTTATTGAATGGAGTATCAATATTCCACCAGGCACAGAGTTGTACAAAAAAAACAAGATAGCAGATCACTGGTAGAAGCAATTCCAATTCTTAGCAAAGCAATTCTTACAGAAGCAAAACAGCAAGTCAAACCAATTCTGCTGAACCTACTATTACGTCCTACTAATTCTACCTATTGTATTATTATTATTATGTCCCTTCAAATTAAATTATTTATTTTTATTTATTTTATTTAATTTGTATACCGCCCTTCTCCAACAGGACTCAGGGCGGTGAACAGCCATGATAAAACATAACGTATAAAATTTAAAAGCAATTTAAAAACATTAAATAATTTGGCTATCCAATTAAAACAACCTGGGTTAAAACCAATTACAAATTAAAATTGAAGGGATGGGATCAAGCCAGCCCGGCTAGGTGAAAAAGATGTGTTTTCAGGGCCCGACGAAAAGTCCGGAGGTCTGGTATCGTGCGTATCTCTGGGGGCGGGTCGTTCCAGAGGGCAGGTGCCGCCACAGAGAAGGTTCTCCCCCTGGGGGTCGCCAGCCAACATTGTCTGGCCGACAGCACCCTGAGGAGGCCCTCTCTGTGGGAGCGTACTGGCCGGTGGGAGGCTATTGGCGGCAGAAGGCGGTCTCGTAGATACCCCGGCAATTAGCGTGAAACTTAAATCTAACGTTACCAAGGCAGAACATCCTCATTTGAAACTGGACATTAACAATGCATCTCCATCAGAAGGGCCAAATCAAACGTTGTTTTTTAATTAACTGGACCAACCGGTATGTAGCAACTTTCAAAGGGAGCGAATTTTGCTTCAGCCAGGACTAATGAAGTAAGTTTTGGGTTTTGTTGTGTTTTTTTGTTTTAGGAACTCAGGAACGCTCACAGCGAGCAGCTGATGGGGATCAGAAGAGAAGAAGAGATGGACATGTCGGACGACGACAGCGATGAAAATCCCAGTAATAAGAAGCTGAGGATGGAGGATTCAGGTAAAATTCCAATTCCTTCCCTCTTTTATTTCTGAAACATAGCTAATCCTCGATTTACGGCCACAATCCTTTTCTCAGGGTTCAAAAAAGGCCGGAAGTTGGTTGCTAGCAAGGACTATGGGTTCCATCTTGAATTTATTTTTGACTTTCCTCTTTGTGGATACACCTGGAAGGGATGTGTGTGCAGGTAATCCTCAACTTATGACCACAACTGAGCCCAACATTTCTGTTGCTAAGTGAGATATTTGTTTAGTGAGTTTTGCCCCACTTTACGACCTTACTTGACACAGTTGTTAAATGAATCTGGCTTCCCCATTGACTTGGCTTGTCAGAAGGCTGGAAAAAGAGGTCACGTGACCCCAGGCCACTGCGACCGTCATAAGTACGAGTCAGTTGATGAGCATCTGAATTTTGATCACGTGGGATGCTGCCATGAAAAACAAGTCATAAGTCACTTATTTCAGTGTCGTTACTTCAGATGGTCACTAAATGAATACTCGTAAGTCAAGGACTACCTGTACTTCTGTGCTTGAACCCCTGAGAGATCAGGTCAAATGGGATAGTCACTTTCCATGGTTTTATGGCAGAGAATTGTGCCGCAAAATCCATATTTTTAAGAGGAAGAAGCTCCCCCTCACGGATTATAATTCCAGCGCTGGAAACGGATTCGATTTTCGCAGATCTGACCTAGCGGATATACAACTTGAGGCTTCTGGGCGAAAGACTGATAAAAGGATTCTGTGTGGAGAAAATGCCATCTTTGGGGAGGGGGAAAAATAGCTTTGTGTGGGTTTATGGTTGTAGCTAATAAAAAAGAACAATCTAGAAAAAGGACCCGGGGCAGCCTATTGATCTGCGAACAACTCTTTGATGTGGAACTACTCCAGGTATATAATCCTTCTTGTGTTCTTCTGTTATTTGCACGGTTCCCCACTTATTTCTTGCAAGGGAACAGGTCAATAATGAATTCTCAGTTTTTCAGCATAGGACGGGAAAGGGTTTCCCTGTTTTATTTCCCTCAGCGCTGGGATATTTCTGACGCTCTGGTCAGAGCAGAGATGCACCCATAGAACGTAGAATCATGGGGTTGGAAGGAACTTTAGAGGTCTTCTAGTCCAACCCCTCCACCCTTCTCCACCCTTTTCCTCCTCTTCCACTTCTTCTTTTGTTCTTCCTCCTCTTCTTCCTCCTCTTCCTCTACCTTGCCCACTCCCACCTCTTTCTCCTCCAGCCATTCCCCCTCCCCCTCCTCTTCCTTCTTCCTCCTCCACCTCTTCTTCTTCTCCTTCTCCTCCTCCTCCCCCTCCCCCTCCTCCTTCTTCTTCCTCCTCCTCTCCTTCTTCTCCTCCTTCTCCCCCCTTCTTCTTCTTCCTCCTCCTTCTCCTCCTCCTCCTCCTCTCCTCCTCCTCCTCCTTCTATTCTTCTTCTTCCTCCTCTCGTCCTCCTCATCGTCCTCCTCGTCCTTCTCCTCTTCTTCCTCTCCTCCTCCTCCTCCTCTTCTACTTCTTCTTCCTCTCCTCCTCCTCCTCCTCCTCCTCCTCCTCCTCCTCCTCCTCCTCCTCTTTCTCTTCCTCCCCCCTCCCCCTCCCCTAACTGTGCCTTCAATGGGGCCCTTTCAAGATGGAAAACGGCAGTAAACAAATGAAGAGTTTTATAATCTCGGAGAAAAGTGGAACTTCTTATTTTTCCCGAGACCTTCTGGTCTCTTCAGCTAAACCCAAGACATTCCTGTCTCCAATATCTGCTAAGTATTGTACCTAGAAGAATCTCCACAGGGAATGCCATAAGCAAGTGGCAGGTTAGCTGTACTCCATAAATCCAGCGAATGCCTCGGTGAGCAATTCTCGTGCTACAAGTGATTTCAGCAAAGGATTTTGTTTTTCATTTGACAGATGTAGAAATATAGTTTTTTCATGAGCAACTGGTTGGATGTAATTGTCCACTCAGTTAACTCTTGCTATATTCAACTGATTTTACTAGCGGTTTAGAGGGTACTCTTAATTAATGTAAAGAAGGGGTGACATGTTAGCTGTCTTCCAATATCGGAGGGGCTGCCACAAAGAACAGGAAGTCAAGCTATTCTCCAAAGCACCAGAAGGCAAAGCAAGAAACATGAAAACTCATCAAGGAGAAAAGCAACCTGGAACTAAGGAGAAACTTCCTAAAAGTGAGAACAATTAACGGAACAACTTGCCACCAGAAGTTGTGAATGTTCTAACACTGGAAGATTGGAGAGTAATTTGTCTGAAATGGTATAAGGTTTCCTGCCTAAGCAGGAGGTTGGAGTAGAAGACCTCCAAGGTCCCTTCAACTTCTATTCTATTCTATTCTATTCTATTCTATTCTATTCTATTCTATTCTATTCTATTCTATTCTATTCTATTCTATTCTACTCTACTCTACTCTACTCTATTCCTTTCTGTTTTCTCTTCTCTTCTCTCTCTTCTCTTCTCTTCTCTTCTCTTCTCTTCTCTCTCTTCTCTTCCTCTTTCTGCTCTGCTCTGCTCTGCTCTGCTCTGCTCTGCTCTGCTCTGCTCTACTCTACTCTATTCCTTTCTGTTTTCTCTTCTCTTCTCTTCTCTTCTCTTCTCTTTCTCTTCTCTTCTCTTCTCTTTCTCTTCTCTTCTCTTCTCTTCTGCTCTACTCTACTCTACTCTACTCTACTCTACTCTACTCTCTTCCTTTCTGTTTTCTCTTCTCTTCTCTCTTCTCTTCTCTTCTCTCTTCTCTTCTACTCTACTCTACTCTACTCTACTCTACTCTACTCTACTCTACTCTACTCTACTCTACTCTACTCTATCCTTTCTGTTTTCTCTCTCTTCTCTTCTCTTCTCTTCTCTTCTCTTCTCTTCTCTCTCTGCTCTACTCTACTCTACTCTACTCTACTCTACTCTACTCTACTCTACTCTACTCTACTCTACTCTATTCCTTTCTATTCCTTTCTGTTTCTCTTCTCTTCTCTTCTCTTCTCTTCTCCTCTACTTTACTCTACTCCACTCCACGCCACTCCACTCCACTCCACTCCACTCCACTCCACTCCACTCCACTCCACTCCACTCCATTCCATTCCATTCCATTCCATTCCATTATTATTTTGGAGAAAATTTTGAATTCACTGTGCACTCTACAGAAAGATGGCTGGTCTTCTGATTCTATAACATGTCACTTAAGGAATTGGTGGTTAAGGAACCTAAGCATGTGGATGGTGCGTGAGCAGGAATGAATGCAGCTTCCTCTCAGAGGGACCATCAAAAGAATTAAGATGCCTTTGAGATGCATTCAAAAGCCTGCAAGACATTTTTACGTGTGTTGCATTTAAAAAAAACAAACTTTGCTTGCCACGAAGGAGGACTTCAATTGCAAAGTCATGGAGGTCATCCCAACTTTTTGGACATCCCGCATGGATGCCCCCTGTCCTGGGAAAAGTTTTTCTCTCTTTTAAATGTCTCACAAATGCAAGATATGGATTGGCGCATGATCAGAGGTGGTATTCGCCCGAAACGGTTCATACCGGTTCGGGCAAACCGGTAGCAGAGATCGGATCTGTGCCATTTTATGTAGGCACGTTTTCAAGACCGGGCACATGCGTGGAAGGCACACGCATGTGCACGGTGAACCGGTGGTAAGAATACTGGGAACCCACCACTGGATGTGAGAGAAAGAATCTTCAGAGTCGTTGGTGCTCTCTGAGTTTGGCGTTTTTTCTTGCAGACGTTTCATTACCAAAGTAGGCAACATCATCAGGGCTAGAAGAGAGTGGGGTTTGTGGAGAGGAGGAGGAGAAGGAGGAGGAAGAGGAAGAGGAGGAGTTGAGGTCCTTGGCTGTCTCTGTGCTTGGTGGTTTTCTTGCAGACGTTTAATTTCCAAACTAGGTAATATCATCAGTACTGCAAGAGAGTAGGGGAATCAACCATGCTCAGAGAGCATCAAGGACCCCACAGTTCAACCCTGAGCTACAAATATTCTCTTTTATCAGAAATAAATTTGTCTGTACCTAATCCATGTGTGTTTGTATATATATATGTGTTTACCCCTAATTTGTTTGGCTTTAGAAATACAACATTGCATGGACAATTTTGATTGCCTCGTGACTGAAAAGGTGCGCGTAAATTTTCTTTCCTGCAGCTCTTTGCTTTACTTTAGCTAATCTGGTTTATAAAAGCGGGAGAAAAATGGGCTTTATAGAAGAAAGTTCATGGAATAGGTTATCTGAAATTCGCAGGAGCAGCGCTAGCTTGGAAGCTGAGAGCGGGGACAGCAGACGAGCGAAAGGTTTAAACGTGCAGATTAGAAAAAGGGGAGAAAAATATATCGTCCTTTTATTTTTATTTTTTTTTTGCCCCCCTGAATATGCAGATGAATTATTTTTGAAACAATTTCTGGCCAAGAATCAGGGCACGAAAGGGGAATCGGTGATCGTGACAGCCGCTGTTGACGGAGGGACCTGAATGGAACAAAACAAAACAAAACTGAGAAATGGCCACTAGCTGAGGTACAGCAAGCCAGTTAGCTAGATTAAATAAAAACACCAAAATGAAATTTCTGAGTATGGAAGCATATTCAGAACGCTAAAAAATAATAATAATAAAAAAAAGCAGCAGCACCATCCTCCCATCCGTTGAACGTTGGCCCAAATACCATCTTCTGGGTTCTCACTTCCCTGCCTGCTGGCACCAAATGCTAAAACGAAGGACAGTGAAGTGTAATTTCAAGAATTATTGAAGTGCAGCTGTTTGCACGTTGCTGGCTGGAAAAAGATTCTCACCCCCTTAGGATAGATCTGTAATTTCCCGTGTAATGAAAGGATGGTATTGTTACGCCGCTTAATGCAGCCGGGCCACACAGAAGTTCTCTTATAACAACGGCATAAGCGTAAGGCTTTGGCAGGAAACTCAGGGTGCTATTCCTCAACTTACAACTGTTTGTTTAGGGACCATTCAAAGTTACAACAAAGGCAGGGGTGGGTTCTAAATTTTTTTACTACGGGTTCTGTGGGCGTG